TGTTATTTTAGTTTGTGATATGATAATTTTTATTCACAAAATGTTAAATAATTTACTTTTTAAATTTATTTGTCATTGCTTTAATAGATAGGATAAGATGTTTTGTTATTTCTTTTACAGATTGTTATGAGGATTGCAAAACTTTTAAATATCAGAAACTGAAGAAAGCATTCATAATCAGCAGATATCAAAAAAGCGCAAAAGTACTGATTTTACAACTCTTTTAAAGGTTTCATTTTAATTTGTTAATGTTTATATAGAAACTAATAATATATAAATTGAAAATAATAACATATAATTAATCCATAATTGTGCATTATTCTATACTAAATTTTTTTTTTTTTCAATTTCTTCAGAGTTAATATTACTAGTTTAATGCAATTACAGTAGAAATGGTTAATTATGGAAAAACTGCACTAAAAATTGAATAAATCGCTTGTTAAAGCAAATAATATTATATATATATATAAATATATATATATATATATATATATATATATATATATATATATATATATATATATATATTATAAATTTAAAAATAATAGTTTTATTTAGTTTGTTCTAATTTTTATGTAAAAAAAAAAAAGAAGCAAGTTTTAGTTAGTAAATGATTAACCATTTTTATGGTTATAGTATTTTTATGGAATAGTAAAAGAGTTTTTATTTTTCAGTTGAGGAAGAATTTTATGTTAATGTTAATGCAAAAGGTACGAATATTGACAGGTTAGCTAATTTGATGTAACAATAAACATGAAATAAAGTTTGTGAAGACCTTAGTGCCAAAAATACTTGCATGCATTATTCATGCATGCTGTATTATAATATAGCATGCATGCATGATGCATTTAAGTATAAAAAAAAGTTACAAATGTTTAATTATACAAAAAGATTATGGATGTGGTACTGCAAGTATATTCAGTTGATTATGCAAGTAAGTTGTCCTACTTTACATCTTTGAAGACTAATAATAATTGTAATGAACATATCTCAGACAATATACACTCGGATTTATATTTTAGTTAAACCATCACCACTTCCACAGCCACCTTGTCTCAAGCATTAAATCGCATTCTAAGATATCTTTATTCAAATTAAGTGTGACTACTTTACCAAAAGACTCTAGAATGGACCAATCAAGTAAGATGTCTAAATCTATATCTTTTATATAGAACTCCTTTATTTTTAAATAAACCTGTTAATTTTATGACTTATGAACATATTTAGCAATGTAATCCTTTTAGGATAGACTTTAAAATCAAATTTACAATGTTTTAGTAAATTTTTATTTAAAATAACTTTGTATACATAATATATCTATATAGTTATTTACATAATAGCTAACCCATCAGTACTTGCAAAGTCTCTTTCTGTAAGCCCAAAAATTGAGTTCTAAAATACCATTATCCACATAACTACTTTATCAAAGTACAATCTAATGGATTGATCAAGTAATACTTAATTTTTACCTTAAATTGCGTGTTAGTACATATATATAATTTTGATATATAAATTTTAATTATTATGTTTGTTGATTAGTTTTTAAACTTTAAGAAGTGTAAGAATTACAATTTTATTTTTACATGTTTATTTATATTGTAGTGAAACTGTCGGTATCTCCACAACTTTTCAATTAAATAGAAAGTTTCAATTAAACAGGATACTAAGTGTGCCTATTGCTCCTCAAGACAATAAATAATGGGAGTTATCAAACTTTATATATATATATATATATATATATATATATATATATATATATATATATATATATATATATATATATATATATATATATAAAGTTTGATAACTCCCATTATTCATTAATGAATATATATATATATATATATATATATATATATATATATATATATATATATATATATATATATATATATATATATATATATATATATATATATATATATATATATATATATAACTTATCAACCCATAACTACGATAACTGCAAATTTTTTTAATAAGGTTTTTATTATATAAATGTTATATATTTTACAGAGTTCTAAAGAAAAGTTCTCTGTCAATTGTTACCATAATTACTCAATGTACACTCTACTATTGTACAATCTTCTATAATCTATAAAACTATGGATTTATAAAGTTGTTAAATGAATAGAATGAAGATGTTTGTTGAATTATTTTTATTATTTTTAGAAAAGAGATTGTATGACTTCGGTATCCGCAATACGGTATCGTGCATTGATTTCCATCTTAGAATGGCTCTCTTCCGTATAGGTGGAAATAGGATAGGTTGTGTCCTTTTTTCTAATTCTTAAGACGAAGAGGCTTAATCGGTTCAAACAAAGATGACGATGATCATTATGGAGCCGATCATGATGGCGAATACGATAATGCATATAATAGTAAATAAAATGTTTTTACTTGTATCTTAGACTTATATAAATAAAAAATTATTTGTTTAATGTTTGATTTGTTTATGAGTATTTAAATAATGCGTTCAGCGTTTAACTTTTTTTTACGGTGCTTATTTAAAGCAGCTTAAATAAAAGAAAAGTTTGATTCGTTTATCAATATTTTGTATTTATTTATGCTTCTTTAAATAAGCGCCGTAAAATAAAGTTTAACGTCGCGAAGTTTTAATCGAAAGATTTAAATAAAGTTTAAATAGCGTTTAAAACGAACCATTTAGATATGGTTTAAATGGAACATTCGATTGACCTACGTTCTAAATCAAAACTAAATTAAATCTAAACATTTAGAACGAACATTACCTAAACGTTGATTAAATGTTCGAATGCCCGTTGGGGGGTTATTTCATGTGCGTAAAAATAACAACAATTATTTTGTAAAGCACCTGCTTCGCTAAAATAATTTAGATCTGGATCGGATCTCTCATCAATAAGATATTTATTTGTTTGAAGAAAATTAAAGGTTAATTTAAAATTATCTAGTAAAACTGAATCCATTTTAATAGTTTAGTATACTTGTAGTGCCTAGCGAAAACAAAGGAATTCCTATTTTTAAGCATCGCGCGTAACAAGTTTATTATAAACTACTTTTGCATATTTACCTTTTGTTCTAAGTTCTTTCGCTTCAATAAACAATTTCTTTCTTAATTCCGTTGTTCTTTCGCAGTAATCTTCATTAATGTATAGGCGTTCAGTCCAGAGTTTTAACTTTGAGTAATTTTCCATTATCGTTTGTTTATCTTTATAGTTTAAGAATTTGACAACTATAGTTCTGTTTTTCATTTTTCCACCATAATCAAGTTTTCTCTTTCAATTATTATATTGTTATTAATACCAAGTTTAATACTTTAATGCTTCCAGAATAATAGATTTGTGTATTATTAGAAGAACCATGAAATATATTCTTTCTCTAATTTTCAGCCAATCCAACTTGTTTATAAGTATATAATATATATATATATATATATATATATATATATATATATATATATATATATATATATATATATATATATATATATATATATATATATATATATTACATATATATATATATATATATTTATATATATATATATATATATATATATATATATATATATATATATATATATATATATATATATATATATATATATATATATATATATATATATATATATATATTATTATGTGTAATATGTAATTTACTTTGATATATATATCAAATATATATCAAAGTATATTACATTTTGACAATTTTAAAATATCTTCTGCAAAATATTCTGACAAATGCAGTAGTGGTGTAGTGGTAGAGCGCTCGTTTCATAAACGAGTGGTTCCGAGTTAGATCCCCACCACGTCCCTGGTAGTACCGCGCTCAACTCGTTTCTCCGCGCAGCGGCCTTGCTCGTCAAGGTTCGTGTTTCGGAGTTATAGAGTTGAGAGAGGGTTATAACCACAAATAAGTAGCCTCCTCGTCTGTAGTGGCCTTCTCAGCTTTGAGGAGGTGAATTAAAATAAAAAAAAAAGAAGTGCTTAATGTTCTTAAAAGAACAGAGCGAGTATAAAAATCTACTATGCAAAACTAAAGTAGTTATGAATATGTTAATATACATATATATGTTAATATATATATATATATATATATATATTATATATATATATATATATATATATATATATATATATATATATATATCTTATATAATAAGATAATATATATATATAATATACACACACACACACATATATATATATATATATATATATATATATATATATATATATATATATATATATATATATATATATATATATATATATATATATATATATTATCTTCTTTATAACTACTTCAGTTATGTAAAATAGATTTTATATATATATCTTATTTATAACTTTTTTAGCTATGTAAAATAGATTTTTAAAACTAAATAATCTTTTCTTAACAGATTAGAAAAATAATTAATACAAAAAATTAATAAAAAAAACTATATAAATTAAATCTCAAAACCAGTCTTCAGTTCAAACTCTTAAAGAGAGTAATGTTAAATAAAGTTTTGTTTATCTTTCTGTGCACCTTCAGCGGGTTATTGATACGAGTTTCAACATAAAACGGCAAAACAATGGAAACGGCCTTTATTTCCAGACTATTTATTCTTATGACTATGCGCTATACAAATGAAATTAAGAAGATCTAGGAGCACTAAACCGAAGTCATAAAAAAAAAATTTATTCTCATAATTACCCAGTGGGCATGGAGACGTCCGTAGGACGTCTTTTTTTGGACGAAAGGATGTCCAGTACAGACGTTGATAGGACGTACCAAATGCAACACAAGACGTCCGTCCAAAACAGACTCCAAATAGACTTAGAGTGTAGACGTCATATGGACGTCCAACAAACGTCCGTTAGACGTCTTGCTAATAAAAGGACGTCGTAAAAACGTCTCCCGGACATCCCGTTTGTTCAGTTGACCTACAAATTGAGTCGGAATTCCATTGGTTATTAATAATTATTATAGAATAATCTTTAATAATGATTATAATAATTTTACAATATTGTATCCCAACCCTTTAACACAGTAAATGTATTATGAAATAATAATAAATTGTACAAAATAAATAAATACAAATTCAAAAATAAAAATAAATACAAAAAAATTAGTTTGTTAACTATAAATATTTTAAGTTTTTCAAGCTGTTTTTCATCCAACGTCGATTTTTTGTAAAGCTTTGCATCGAATACCCCTTATAAGGGGTATATATATATATAAGGGCGATTTATATATATAAATCGCTCGTCATCATTTTATTCGTACTACTCTATCAGTTTTGTATCGATCAACTACTCCTAAAAAAGTATTAAACAATGGTAAATATTCTTCAATTAAAAATATGCTATGAATATAGTACCAACATAAATCATACAGGTCATGTTTTAAAAATCCGGAAATATATATATATATATATATATATATATATATATATATATATATATATATATATATATATATATATATATATATATATATATATATATATATATATATATATATATATATACATGTATACATACACACACACACATTTATAAAAAATATTATATATACACAATATTATGTATACAGTATTATAATTTAAAATATTAAATTATAATACATAATTTATACTGATGGTAATCCTACCTTCAAGATAAAAATCCTGCATTATATTTGGTTTTGATCATTTAACACTGAACTGAACTAAAATGGAAAAAGGTCCAAGATAACAAGATTTGCATGATATGTATTATAGATATGATTATAGCAATATTGAATATTAAAATAAAAATTTTGTACCGATAGAAGAAAATCATAAAGATTTTTACCATAACTTTTAAATATTTGATTTTCTTATTGATTTTGATTCCATTAAACAACAACTCTAATAAAAAAAAAAATAAAGAAACAAAACCTAAGAAAATTATTTTTAAAATTTATTTTAACATATCTTTATCATTGCAACTTTAAACTATACCTTATTAAACAACCTCAAAGCAATACTGCTACTTTGCTACTCTATCTTAAACTGCACACGCTCTTCTTGAATAAAAGTGGTTAATCCAGAGGATTAGGCCATTGATGATATATATTTATGAAACTTTACCTTTAACTCCAACATTCACAATAACCAATATGGGAGATATTTTGCACTACTTTATTGAGCTAAATCAAAGAGGTAGGTAACAATTATAAAAACATGTTTAAAACATTACCATAAAACTCATATGTTTGAACTGAAATGTTGATTTAAAAAAGTGTAGAGCTTCAAAGTCAATTATTTTGTTAATTGCAGCGGTGAATTGTTAAACCGTGCTCTTTACTTACCTTGTAAGTAAAGAGCACGGGTTTCAAACCCAAAACGGCCCTGCTAGTACTGCATTCAAATTGTTTATCTGTGCAACATATTTCTTCATTAAGGTTTATGTGGAGTCTCTCTAAACTAAATCTATAATTTTCTAGATTTAACAAAAAAGAAAAAATTGAATAGTTTTGGAATTCTAAAACACTGGGGATTAAAATACATATAAACTACTCTATATAATACTCAACAAAAACAAATTGCTTTCATCCATTTCGGACGAGAACAGAGTTATATAGATATATTACAGAGAGATATATTACTGTTTTATTATGAGCATTTAAATTGAACATGAGCTAGGGTCAGAGACAAGACATAAGTCAAGGAGTGAAGGTAAATGATTAGGGTTGTCAGGAAAACAAGTCACAAAGTTAACTATCTGAGTAAGAGATTAAGAAACGCAGAAGTTAAAGGCTTTAGTGCCAGCAGGATCAGTGGTGTTAGAGCCAAGCCATTCAGTGTGATGGGCATTAAAATCACCAACAACAACAATATTGGCATCTAAAAGACTGCAATCATGGAAAGAAGGAGAACGATAAAGAACAAAGAGAAAGGTGATAGAGTGAAGATGTGCTAGGCGAAAGCACATAAAAGAATGATCAAAGGCTTCGAACCCGATTTCACAACAAATAGTTTTTGTAATAATTTGTTTCACTGAGTGCAACCAAGTCTGGTGAATTTTGCAGGAGGTAAGACTCAACTGACGGAAAGTTGCTTCGCAGACCGCAAATATTTGTAAAAGATATATTAAAACATTTAGGTGGTGGGGATGGTTTTTTAGGTTTAAAATTTTTGGTTACTTAGGTCATGATTTGGATTTAATGAGAACTTGACTCATTCATAGATAGAGCACAGCGTCTTTATCAATAAGCTATGCAGTTGTCTCAGTCCTGTTAATTAACCCTAAGCCGTGACATAGGGTATATATATATATATATATATATATATATATATATATATATATATAATATATATATATATATATATATATATATATATATATATATATATGCATATATTTATATAGTTTGCTGAAAATTATATAAATGGAGAAGTATTGGTGCGTGTCTTTTCACTTAAAGAAGAAATGCATACAGAAAAAGAGACAAAGGAGGTTTGTGAGATTCTTTAGAGAACTGAAAATGTTTATACTACTTCAATGTTAAATGATATTTAAAAAAAAAAAAAAAGATTAAAAAAATTTAATCAATAGGTCAAAAAAGTTGGCAAAATAGTTTGTGTCGCATTTGTGGAAGTGAAATTGGTCCAAAAACTATAAAAAATCAAAAAAAAGTTAAACGGGTAATACAATATATTTTAATTATTTTTAAATAAAACTTTCAAATAGAAAAAAATACTTTATATATTCAAATAGAAAATGTACATTAAATATTTATTTTTAGATAAAATGTGATTTTTGCATCCCGAATCGATGAGATACCGTATGAGATGCATACCGTATGAGATGCATCGCTTTTAGAAATGAAACTTTATTTTCTTGTGAACATATTTATATATAAATATAAGAATAAATGAAACTTTAAAAAATGCAGTCATTTCTTTTTCTTCAAAATTTTTTATAAATTGAACCAATTTAAATGTTTATACCCTTAGAGATAAAAACACAAATAGGTGAAATTTTTTTTTTCTTAGTTTCAGTGACTTCTTGTATTGTTATAATACTTTAACTTGTCGAAAGCCTTACTTATGAATTGATTGAACAATAATACATTTTTAATTTGTTAGCTCAATTAAATCTTAAAAAAAAAAAAATGAAAAAAGACTGTTTCAGTAATCTCTGCACATTTTGCAAATAACAGCTAAAATTCTAAATTTAAATATCAAATCTCTCTATGCAGGCTAAAATATTCTCCAACATAATTACTACCATGTTGCTAAACAATTGTATTTGTTTTCTGGAGTAACAACCCCCCTGTGTAAGCTCTATATATATATATATCATGAAAAGAAGCAAAAAACCAACTTAAAAAATCACATTCCTCCTAGGTATATCTTTAAAATATTACATTCTCTAAGTATTTCATAAAATTTTTCAAATGAGTAGTAATTAATATATTGAATATCACATCTATCACTTAAAAATTCTGTTTGTACCACAAAAAGAAACTAATTCTTACTTAAAATATCACATCCCCCTTATGTATACTTCTAAAATATTACATCCCCTTTAGTATTTCTTTACAATATTTCAAGCAATTCATTTTTGGTATTTAAAATATCACATCTCCCCTGTGGAGCCTCTGCATATGTCACAAAAAGAAACTGAAATTCTTACTTAAAACATCACATACATGTTTACCTTTAAAATATTAAATCCCCCTAAGTAATTTACAAAATATTTAAAGCGATTAGTATTTGGTACCTACAATATCATATTCATCACTTGTAAGTTCTGTATGTACCACAAAAAGAAACTTAAATTCTTACTTAAAATATCACTTCCCCTCTATGTTTACCTTTAAAACATTACATCCCCTTAAGTATTTCTTTACAATATTTCAAACAATTAGTATTTGGTGTTTAAAATATCACATCCCCTCTGTGAAGTCTCTGTATATTTCACAAAAAGAAACTGAAATTCTTTCTTAAAATATCACATCCCCTCTATGTTTACCTGTAAAATACAACCCCCCCCCATCTTCAAGTAATTCTTACAATTCTTTAAACGATTAGTATTTGATATCTAGAATATAACACCCATTGGTTTATTTACTGTATGTCACGAAAAAAACCTGAAATTCCTACTTAACCCTCTAGTGCCCCAATTTTTTTTCTTCACCAAAAAATTATGCTAGGCTAAATTGAGGCTATTAAAACTCAACTTCAAGCTGATTTTTTTCTAAAGTAAAAAATATGACCTAACTTGGTTGTATGCTATTGTCTATAGACGAACACCAGCATTACGCTAAAATTTTTAGCGATGTAATTTTTACATGGATTTTTATAATACTCGCCTTGAGGCAGTTTTGGGAACTAGAGGGTTAAAATATCACATCCCCCCTATGTACACTTCTAAATTATTACATTTCCTTAAGTAATTCATACAATATTTAAAACAAATAATATTTGGTATTTAAAATATCACATCCCCTCTATTTTTACCTTTAAAATATTACATCCCCCTAAATAATTCATACAAAATTTCAAACGACTAGTATTTGGTATCTAGAATATCACATCTACTCGGTTTATTCACTGTATATGTCACAAAAAGAAACTGAAATTCTAACTTAAAATATCACATCCCCTCTATGTATACTTTTAAAATGTTACAACCCCCTAAGTATTTCTTTTCAATTTTTCAAACAATTCATACAATATTTAAAACAAATAATATTTGGTATTTAAAATATCACATCCCCTCTATTTTTACCTTTAAAATATTACATCCCCCTAAATAATTCATACAAAATTTCAAACGACTAGTATTTGGTATCTAGAATATCACATCTACTCGGTTTATTCACTGTATATGTCACAAAAAGAAACTGAAATTCTAACTTAAAATATCACATCCCCCCTATGTATACTTTTAAAATGTTACAACCCCCTAAGTATTTCTTTTCAATTTTTCAAACAATTAGTATTTGGTGTTTAAAATATCACATCCCGGTAATGTTGCAGAATAGACATGTTAAATAAAATTATCTTTAAGCTTTATGCGCTCTCGTTTGTAGATACTTAAAAAATTCTATTAAATGAAAAAAAATTCTATTGAAAAAAAAATCTATTGAATTGTATTTCAATAATAAAAAATATAGTTTTGCTAATGTGTTTTTTAAAAATATGTGGCTATGAAAATAGCCGTTTATGTTATAGCTTATACAGGAATTTGACATTATTTTTGATTTAGTATTTATATTTCTGGAACAACATTTGTTAAATCACTTGGTCTTCCGCGATTAACACGTTGTAAAGCCATCTAAAGTAATTGATTTTAAAAAGTAAAAATAATAGATATAAGTTATATCATATAACTACTAAATAAATAAAAAAAAAGAATATGTTAAAAAATATAATAATATGTTAAATTTTTTTTTTTTATATTAAATGTGTTTATCTTACCTTTTGATAAAAGAAATGAAAAACGCTATAACTAATTAAATTAATAAAATAGTTAAAATTTTCTTACTTTTTACTTGTATTAAAACTCCATCGCAGATTTTAAAAAGCAAAATAATAAAATGATTAAACGTGTCTATTCTGCAACATTACCCACATCCCCCCTGTGGAGTCTCTGCACATGTCACAAAAAGAAACTGAAATTTTTTCTTAAAATATCACATCCCCTCTATGTTTACCTTTAAAATATTACATCCCCCATCCTTACAACACTTCAAACAATTGATATTTGGTATCTAGAATATAACATTCACCACTTGTTATTTCTGTATATGTCACAAAAAGAAACTGAACCTCTTACTTAAAATATCACATCCCCCCTATGCAGGCTTCAAAAATATTGCAAACGATTGTTATTTTTATTACCTAAAGTATTATATCCCTCATGTGTAACCTTTTTTTTACTACTGTCGCGCAATACATTACAATCAAAATTTTATAAATATGAATTTAAAATATATTACCATTTTATGCTAATTTCATTTATAGTAAGTTAGTAGAAAAACGTTTTGATGAATCTCGTTGCGTTTTTATTAAATTGTTTATAATTGAATGTTTCGGACGTACTTGTTACACTTCTAAGTGCAATAACTCGAAAGCGCAATCTCGTTTTCGTTTTTTCTATGGGGGCACTGATCTCTATAATAACTGGATAGCGCATCTCCTAATAAAATTCCGAAATTTTTGAAGCCAAAAGACGCCATATTGGAAAGCCCCAGAATTTATAAATCCGTAGTTGCGTTAAACTTACCCAACGGGCATTTGTTGGTTTAAAATTGGTTTAGATCACGTTTAGATGGCATTTACGTCGATCTAAACGTTTAGGAATCTATTCTAAACGTGTTCTGAATATTTAATTTGCGTTTAGATGACATTTACGTCGTTCTAAACGATTAGGAATCAATTCTAAATGAGTTCTGAATATTTAGTTAGCGTTTAAGCGCTGAATCATGCCGGTTTCCGTTACTTCGATTAGCCCAGAAGGGATTTTGCACAGAATGAAACGGACATTTTGGATCTTTCATTATTGTTTAAAAACTTGAATTTCATATGAATATTAAATTATGTAGATAGTAGTTTAGAAAACTTAAAAGAAATTTGAGTAAACAAAAATTGAGTTAACGGATGTTTTAGGAGGATTAACTTTTTGATAATGACCTTTAGACATGCTTGTTTGTATATTAAAACATGCTTGTTACCATATTTAAAATCGTTATTTAGTCTGATTTTCTAATGGCATAAAAAACTATACTTAGACTGTTATTAAAATAGACTATTAGTCTATAATAATTTGCATAAATATCACAAAAATTTAAAAAAAGGTTTAGTTATGAAAGTTATTAAGATTGGTATTATTTAATTAAATTGAAGCAGTTTGTATTACAGAAAAAAGTGGTTTTACAAGATTTGAAATAGTTTGTATCAAACCAAGAAGTAGTTAAAAGATTGCAAAAGAGGTAAAATACAGATAAATAATAAGTTTCTTATTATAATTCTTATAGAATGTTATTCACATAATAGGTACTTGACTTGTAGGCTACATGAATATAAAAATATAAATATAGATTAAATCAAAATCAAAAAAGATTACAAAATCCTAATTCTAAAAAAAATGCATTTATAGCCCTTATTCTCTCAAGTACTTGAGACATTGTCAATGTAGTGCAAATAAATATTAAGTGTGAATCTCAACTACTTGAGAGAATAAGGGCTATAAATGCATTTTTTTTAGAATTAGGATTTTGTAATCTTTTTTGATTTTGATTCAATCTATATTTATATTTTTTTATTGTATTTTTTTTATTTTACATTCGTCCTTTTTTTTAAAAAGAAAAAGACTTAAAATAGAAGTGACTTGTTAAAAGTTAAAACAAATCATTATAAGTCTTTCAATTTTTAAGTAAAAGAAATGTAATAAAGTGTAAATTACACTGTGATTTACACACATACACATATACATGCATATACATCCTGATATAACTACACACACAGATATATATATATATATATATATATATATATATATATATATATATATATATATATATATATATATATATATATATATATATATATATATATATATATATATATATATATATATATATATATATATATATATATATATATATATATATATATATATATATATATATATATATATATATATATATATATATACATATATATATATATATAAATATACATATATATATATATATATATATATATAAATATATATATATATATATATATAATATATATATATATATATATATATATATATATATATATATATATATATATATATATATATATATATATATATATATATATATATATATATATATATATATATATATATATATATGCATACATACATACATACAAATATTTTCATTTTAATAATTCTTTATGTAACGCTTTATCTACGTATGAAACAATACTAGTTTTCGTATTGAAAAAATTTTACTACTTCTTTTTCTTGGACACACAGAACCCGTTGTGAAATTATTTGAATCTTACCACTGATGTTTATATATATATATATATATATATATATATATATATATATATATATATATATATATATATATATATATATATATATATATATATATATATATATATATATATAAATATATATATATTCAGGGCCTATTTTGAGAAAAAATTTGGGCAGCGGTGAAACTCTTTAACACAGAAACACAAACCTTGACAAACTCTGTTGTCAATATGTTTGGTTTCCTTATCTTTAACTTGTGTATAAAAAAATAATTTTATAACTCATTAAAAAAAAAGTATAGTTTTTACCTTTTACATTTTTTAAACTACTGTTTTTGTTTCTAATTTGTTTTATTTACTTTATTAGCGTAATTATTTAATCTTAATCTTCATAATAATAATCTCCATAATAATAATAATAAATCTGTGAAAATAAAGATGCAACAATGAAAAGACTCTACTCATTTAGAAGGAACGCAGTTAAATCAATTTTTAAGTATATACACTCTTTATTTAAAGTACTATATACACTCTCTATACTATATACACTCTCTACTTAAAATTAACTATATACACTCTCTATTTAAAATTAAGGAGATGTCAAGTTATATACATTAAAAAAAAAAAAATCTATTTATCCTCCTTTTAAACAATAAAGTAACCTTTGAAATCAGTAACTCCCAACTTAACTACTGTTCAGCTAAATTTTCTTTTTTAGATGATATAAAAGAATTATGTGATAATCATAAACTGAATATGAACACCTTAATGCTGGTTAAAAAAAAAGTAAAACTTAAAGTCTTAGAGGAAGTAATTCCTGAAGCTACTCTTCATATTTTGGTACACGCGGTTCAATGTTGGAATGTAAAAGAACAGCGAACAATTTTTGAAAAGACACTTGAAGAAAACATTCCTAAATAATACTTTTTTTTATCTCTATTTCTTAGTTTGTGTTTTTACCTTGTAAATTTATTTTACAGAGGGTGATTAATAAAATATTAGTAATAATAATTATTATTATTGTTACAAATAATCTAATTATACGTTGTTATTAAGTTTATTATTTAGTTATAATATCTTAAACTCTTATTATCTTATCTATAATGATATTCATATAAATTATATAAAAAAAAATAAGTTTGTAAATAAAAAATAACATTAGCTAATATTTTATATAATTGATTTTTTAGATCATTCGTATGAGTGCAAAAGCAGAGTATATGCGAAAATATAGAAAAGTTGTTAAAGATGCAAATAATTGCTTTGAATGTGATCCTCCTGTGTTATCAAATTCTTCAACTGATGCAGAAAATTTGTTCGCTTTATCTTCTATTGCAAATAATATAACTGATAATTTATTTAATAGTGATACCTATAGACTTGACATTGACATAGTACCACCTTACAGTAGTTCCGATGAAGAAAATTGTGATATAGATGATATTGACATCGACATAGTACCACCTAATAGCAGCTCAGACGATGAACATTATTGTGATATAGAAGTTGTTGGCAATAGATCTTTTCAATACAATCTAGCTCAATGGGTTGTTAATGCAAAACTCACACGTTTATCATGTAATGGTTTGCTAGCCTTGTTGAGAAAACATGGGTGCGAGCTGCCTAAAGATAGCCGTACTCTTTTACAAACACCTCAAGCTATACAAGTTCAGGAAAAATGTGGTGGAAAATACATTTTTTTTGGCCTTACCAAATGTTTACAGAATTCAATAAATCAAGGCACTTGCAGTAATATACTCAATCTGCAAATAAATGTTGACGGTATATCATTGTTTAGATCATCGAAAAGACAAATTTGGCCGATTCTTTCTGCTGTTAATCATAGTTCACCCACAATTGTTGCCTTATATCAAGGAGATAGTAAGCCAAACTGTGTTAAAGAATTCTTAAAGGATTTTATTGATGAATATAAATTTTTAAAATGTAATGGTATCACTCATAATGGTAAAAATTATACAGTTATTTTGCACTCAGTTATTTGTGATGCTCCAGCAAGATCTTTTCTGAAAAATATTCAAAAACATTTCTTTTTATATTTATCTCCCTCTAATATAGTTTTAAATATGTTTTTATGTCTATATGTTTAATATGTTTAAATATGCTAATATGCCTAATGTGATTTTTAATTTAAGGAAGATATTTCATAGTATACTAGGTTAGCACTATGAGTGAAAAAAGCTATATATTTTTTAGCCTTCGTAGTTAATCAAAGAGTTATTATAGCTTCTTTTTTTATTAATATTTTAATTTGGTGTAAGTTATTGTAAATTTATTTTAGGTATATTAAGTTGTGATTTTATTTTCCTATGTTTTAACTTTTTAATTTTTTTTTAATTTTTGTTTCGATTTTGTTTACTTTTAATGTAAATCTAAATAATTTTAGAGATTAATCTTAAAATTTTAAAGAGTAATTAATATAGAAATTTTCATAACCATCTCCTCTGATAATAACTTCTATTGGCGTCTTGTTTAGCTGAAACAAGTGATAATAACAATAATTAAACTACTATTTATATGTATTAGTAAAATAATATTTATGTATTTGTAAACGACTAAACTTATATTAAACACTTTTAAACAAGTTTAGTTACAAGTTTATGTTATGTGTTGATGTACCTACAATAAAAAGAGTATTAACATTTTAGTAAAATGTCATATCACCGGGCTGTTTGGTTGGAAGAAAATCGTGAGGAAGAAGGAGTCTTGCCATCCGCATGGGTGCGGGGAAAAGTAGTTATGTGGCCCCCATCCAAAATGAGTGCGTTTAAATTAATGAAAGAAGGAGTAGAACCTAATGAAAATTGGCGACTTTTAAAACTAATAAAAATAAAAATTACTTCAGGTTTTGTGTTTATTTTTTGACAACAGCTTCATAATTTACATTCGCAAAATGTTAAAGAATTTAGTCATTACTTGTTAAAAGAATTTATTTGTCAATAACTTCTTTGGATAAATTAAATATTTTCTTATTTCTTTTACAGATTGCTATGAGGATTGTAATAATTATGATTTAACTACAGAAACTGAAGAAGATAATCAGCAAGTTTCAAAAAAGCGCAAGCGTACTGCTTGTATAACTTTTTTTGAAGGTTTTACTTTAACTTGTTAATACTCATATAAATAGTAAATAGAATATATAAACTGAAAATAATAACATAAATATACAAAAACTGACAAATAATATATAAAATATAATATTTAAAACTTATTATCAATCTATAATTTTGCATTATTTTAATCAAAATTGAAGTTATTTATTCGGATATAATACCACTACTTTAATACAGCTCTAGTAAAACACTTTGTTTTTTTCAGGCGAGGAAGAAGTTGATGTTGATATTAATACAGAAAGTAAGAATATATATTTTTTATGTTAATTCACCTCCCTAAAGGCTGAGATGACCACTACAATC